GTGTGTGGGCTGCTGCGGAGTTCGCCCGTGCGTGCCCCTCTCTAAAATGGGACTGGGACTCTCCTCCTTGGTCGGTGACACGTTTGGGATTTTCGTTGCTTTAAAGTGGCTGACTTTATTGGTGTTGGTGTCGGTGTCCCAGTCTCTTTCCCCGAGGTTCGTGGACAGACCCGTGATCTCAGTCCGCTCTGTAAACTCTCCCTGTGTTAAAGGCTGTGCCAAAGGTAGTGTCTCAGGGTCTGCATTTGTGGTCACCTGAAGAACTCGCACTACTGTCTTAAAGAGAAAAGAAAGGGCTGATTTAGTGAGGATGTGGGTGGACTGGATCCTAGACTGTCCCAGCTCGTTTTAAGAGTGTATTGTTGATTTCTTCAAGTTCTGATTGTGGTATATGTTGGATAAATGGATATCATAAAAGTGCTCTTGAAGTCTTCCAAAACTTTTGCTACAGTTTGCTCTCTAGGGGTGAATAGACAAGAGTTTGGATAAATACTTTTGTGAAGAATGTATATGAGCACAGTGAAGATTTGGTTGTTTTATTGACTGATATTTCTTTTATTTGTGTGCGGGATTGATGTTTTCCTTGTGTCCAGAATGTACGAATTGTATTGTTGGATTTGAATTTTAGAAATATATTCTGCTGAACAAGGAAACCTCCACTTTTATATCCTTGCTTTCATCTAGCTCACTTAGCAATTCCTTACAGTGCTTGTTTCCCAGTACTTTATCTTGCAGATTCCCTGTACTTTACCTTGTAAGATCCAGCCCCTCCTTACTGTGGAGCCACCAGCATCAGTCTTATAGGATTGGGGTTCCATTTACAGCCTATCTAGCTGTCAGCCTATTCATTAAGAGACAACTGTCTACAGAGTGGTGATTTGGAATGGTCATTGTTCAGTGACTAGGCATTACCTCCTTTTTTTTTTTTTTTAAGAGAGAGAATTTTTTTAATATTTATTTTTTAGTTATTGGCGGACACGACATCGTTGTTGGTATGTGGTGCTGAGGATCGAACCCGGGCCGCACACATGCCAGGCCAGCACGCTACGGCTTGAGCCACATCCCCAGCCCCGGCATTACCTCTTATATAGGAGTTTTCTTCCTTCCTGGTATTTGCTGGTTTGTAGTTTTAATCCTTTTGTCTGTGACACTGCTAGAAGTTGGAGATATTAAAAATGTGTAGGGAAATGATTGATTGTTAGTAAGAAAATCCAAAAGGAATCATAGTTAATTTTTTTCTCTTTTAAAACCAGAAACCTATTTTGGTGTTACTGACTATACCATTTGCTTTTACAAAATGCTATTTAATGTTTTTTTTAAAAAAAAAAAAATCCCATAGAATGTCTGTTTGAAAATGTAAGGATTTTCTACATTAAGGTCAACAGTTATGTGGAGCTGTTGGATTGTGTGTTCCAGACCATTCAGGTCCCTAAAATGCCACCATCAGGACACTGTACTTGGAAAAATTAGAAATAGCATCACTGCTTAAACTTGGTAAAGAGGGAACCAAAAAGTGTGTAGTTATTTTTATAGTGAAGAAATGGACAATATTAGAGTTACAGCCTCTTTTTTCCTTGTTCTTGATAAGTAAAATTTGTGGTAGGTGTGGGGTGTTTGTTCTTTTTGTTGTTGATGGGGATTAAACTCGGGGCCTTGTGCTTGCTCTGTAGTGCTGTACCACTGAGCTGCTTCCCCAGCTTGAGGAAGAGGATTTTGTATAAAATATCTTTCATCCTCACTGGGAGGCTACTGGTTATGCCTGTCTTAGTCATCTCAAAACTTTGATATTCAGTGTTGACCTTGGATCTCTTTGAAAATTTAAGAATATAGATTTGCAGAGAAAACGATTAAGTAGAATCCACTGAAGTATTATTAAGTGTAATTCATTTGAGTACAATTTTCTACAGAACTAAGTAAATTGGTCATGTGATTCTCATTAAAATGTAGGTCCCAAAATGAATGAAAATGTGGAAAACAAAATTTAATATGTACTAGAACAAACATTTTCTGATAGAATATATTTTAAGTTCCAGTTTGTACCTAGTTCAGTCTTTTATTGTTAGATGAGAAACAGCTTTAGCAGTGTAGGTCGTCGGGTTACTTGGACTTTTACAGCACCGGAGCTTCGAAAGGTGTTAGTGTTCTTTGCACCACCCCATCCCCAAAGCCTCTCAAAACTTTGCCATTGAAAAATGAGCCTAAACTGGGTGTGGTGGTGCTGGCCCATAATCCCAGCTGCTCTGGAGGTTGATGGGAAGGATCACAAGTTCTAGGCCAGTTTGGGCAATGTAACAAAACCCTGCCTCAAAATAAAATTTTAAAAAGGACTAAAAATGTGATAAAGTGCTTGCATAGTGTGTATAAGGTCCTGGGTTCAATCCCCAGCACCGGTGGGGGGGGGGCAATCTAGAATAAGACCAAGACCAGCAATTTTCAGTTCTTCCTCAGAGAAGGAAGGCATTGTGTCCAAAATGTACAAATTGTATTGTTAGCTTTGAATTTTAGAAATACATTCTGTTTTGGAGTGTTTGGTTTTTGCTGAATACTTTGTTGTTGTTGAGGAGAGACTTTACTCTTCAGTAGTTGAGACATAATGCATATATATATCTATGGTTCTGGAGGGTTAGTATATTGGCAAGTTTATGTGACCATTACCACTTGATGGATGCTTTTCTAATCACTGGACAATCTCAAAAGTGATCTCTCTTCAGGGCCTCTACAGCAGAAGAACAAAATCAAAGTAATGATTGCTTTGTCCATTGGGCTGTTACACTTTATTATTACACCTCCTGTTGAAGACTAGATGATAGATAAGGTTCTTGAGATTTGTTTTTCTTGAAGACTGAAATGTGTACAGAAACAGTTTGAATATAAAAGTATTGTTGGTTGTCAGGACAAAGAGTAAGATGAGATCGTTGATATCTATTGTTCCTGGAGTGTCACGGTGATTAGTATTTTAGTACCATTAGTTATTTCTTTCCCTGCCTTAATATACTGATTATTAGATTTTAGCTCATTTCATGGTCTTAATGGCTTGACTGCCAAGATTCAGGATTTGGTGATGACGCCAACTAGTGCTGTGCTAGCTAGATTGAGCAGCTGCTTAAACCATTAAAAAATCTTGACGGGGCAGGATGTATTGTACACATCTGTAATCCCAGCTGCTCTGGAGGCTTCAGCAGGAAGGTGGTGAGTTCGAGGACAGCCTGGGCAGTTTAGTGAGATTGTGTCTTAAATGAAAAGAACTGAGGGTCTAGCTTAGTGGTAGAACTCCCCTGGGGGGCTGGGGCTGGGGCTCAGTGGTACAGCCCTCACCTAGCACTTTGCAAGGCCCTGGGTTTGATCCTCAGCACCATATAAAAATAAATAAATAAAATAAAGGTATTGTGTCCAATTATAACTAAAAAGTAAATATTTTTTTTAAAGGGAGGGGGAGAACAAAAGAAGAAAGGAAATTTTGATTTTTGCTTGCAAATAATCCTCTTTGGAGCAAGTTTTTTTTTTTTAGTGCTGTTAGTCTATACTTTATTTGCATTTTTTTAAAGAAAATATTTTCTTTTTAGTTGTAGTTGGACACAATACCTTTATTTCACTTATTTATTTTTATTGGTGCTGAGGATTGAACCCAGGGTCTCACACATTCAGCGCTCTACCACTGAGCCACAACTCAAGCCCACTTTATTTGCATTATGTTGTCTTTATCACCTCTTCTGAAATTGTGCTGTATGGAAAGACAGCAATTAAGATTTACAAGGGCAAGTTAAGGAAATGTAGAGGACATTTTAAGCCTTGATTTCCTTACTTTTGTTTACTAAGAAGGAATGTCTTAAAAATGTTAAAATAAAAATTGTCGGGATGGGGTTATAGCTCAGCGGTAGAGCATGTGTGAGGCACCACGTATATATAAAATATAATAAAGGTCCA